TTAATAAAGCTTGGGAGACTATTAGAGAGAATATAAAAATGTCTGCCGAAGAGAGTCTAAGTTATTATGAACCGAAGAAGCATAAGACATGTTTCGATGAAGGATGCTCAGAATTATTTGACGAAAGAAAGCAGGCCAAATTGCAATGGTTACAGGATCCAAGCGAGTTAAATGGGGATAATCTGAACAATATAAGACGTGAAACCAGCAGGCATTTCAAGAACAAAAAGAGGGATTATCTGAAAGACAAAATTGATGAGCTTGCAATGAACAGTAACAACAATATATTAGAGACCTGTATAGAGGAATAAATGACTTTAGCAGGACTTACCAGCCTAGCAGTAACTTAGTGAAGGATGAGAATGGTGATCTGATTACAGATTCCCACAACATTTTTAATAGGTGGAGGAACTACTTCTCTGAGTTATTGAATGTACATAGGGCCAGTGCTGTTAGGCAGACAGAAATCCATACTGCTGAGACGTTAATGCCTGATCCTAGCCCTTTTGAGTTTGAAAGTGCTATTGCAAAATTTAAACTGTGTAAATCGCCAGGTAGTGATCAAATTCCGGCAGAACTTCTTCAAGCAGGAGGCGAAATATTAAGTTCTAAGATTCACAATCTAATTACTTCTATTTGGCATAAGGAAAAATTGCCTGATCAGTGGAGGGAGTCTATTATTGTACCAGTGCACAAGAAGGGTGATAAAACTGGCTGTAGTAAGTATCGGGGGATATCACTGCTATCAACTTCATATACAATTTTAACCAATATTCTTCTTTCAAGATTAAGTCCATATATAGATGAAATTATTGGGGATCATCAGTGTGGGTTTCGAATTAACAGATCAACTACAGATCAGAGATTTTGCATTCGTCAGATACTGGAGAAAAAATGGGAGTACGATGAGACAGTACATCAGCTATTCATAGATTTCAAGAAAGCCTATGATTCAGTTAGCTAGGAAGAATTGTGCAATATTCTAATAGAGTTTGGAATACCCATGAAACTAGTTAGGTTGATAAAAATGTGTTTAAACGAAACGTATAGTAAAGTCCGTGTAGGTAAACATTTGTCTGATAAATTTCCTATCCAGAATGGTCCAAAACAAGGAGATGCTTTATCGCCACTCCATTTCAACTTTGCCTTAGAATACGCAATTAGGAACGTCCAGGGAAACCAGGTGGGACTGAAATTAAACGGGCCACATCAGCTGTTTGTCTATGCCGATGATGTGAATCTACTGGGTGATAATGTAGATACCATAAAGAAAAAACACTAACTTTAATTGACGCAAGTAAAGAGGTTGGTCTAGAAGTAAACACAGAGAAAACTAAGTATATGTTACTGTCTCGTCACCAAAATGCAGGGCAAAATCATGACATAAAGATAGGAAACAGATGTCCAGAACCTTTTGTCTTCTCGTCTGTTGTCCAAAAACATAAAAATTAGAATATACAAAACTATAATTTTGCCTGTGGTTCTGTATGGGTGTGAAACATGGTCTCTGACATTAAGGAAGGAACATAGACTGAGGGTGTTTG